GCAGGAGGAGGAGGAGGAGGAGGAGGAGGAGGAGGAGGAGGAAGAGGAAGAGGAGGAGGAGGATGATGATGAGGAGGAGGAGGAGGAGGAGGGGGAGGGGGAGGGGGAGGGGGAACTCGATTATTTTGTCCTTGAGCCATCATGCGACGATGTGCATGTTATGTTTATAATCTTCACAACAAGCCTTCTCTCTCACATGTCGATCTCCCTGATGATATCTCCCAATATTCAGAGTCCGCTTTCACCCTCTCAAACTCTTGAACCATCTTATGTAGCTGGAGCGTGGTGTCCACGGACCTTTGGCAATATAGCTGAAATCTGTCAATATCCACCATCGTAGAATGAAACAAACTCCAAGAGAGAAATCACATCTTCATTCAGCTCCAACGATTCACCGGGGTCGTTGTAGGCTGTCTCATATTGGTTATCTCGTAGATCTTGTTCGCTGTAAGTAGCCGGGCGTCTGACTCCTCGGCGTAAGCGTATGCTTCGCTCCTTCAAGTGAATACTCCATTTCCCAGTAGTCAAGAATGTCATGAACATCGGCGATAACATCTTCTTAGTCAGCTGTCGGCGAGCATGACTGTTGTCGGCAAATGAATAACGTTCCGAATCCTTCTGGTGAGCCTATCCCCACGTAAAGCTAGAACACCAACTCGATGATGCTTGTCGTTCCGCAATGCCTTTGAGAAACAAATCAACTCGAAAATATGCATGGCGTCTGTGCAAATATCCACTGGAATCAAATGCTGCGATCTCATATGAACTTCCAACAAGTCTCGTGCCGTGGGTACTCGGCCAAATACTGGAAACATTCCAACTATGTGATCCTCGAAGCAATGATGTTGGCCATGGCTGCGCACGATACTGCTGGATTTGTCTCCGAAGGGGGAGTTGACCAGGAAACTCTCTGCGCCTTCCGTGAACTGACTATTAACGGACAGGCTACTCCTCCAAATATCTTAGCTTCCTCTCCATAATACTGCTCTTGAGTTCCGTGTCGTAGAACGGAATGATCCTGTGCCAATAGTACAATGCGTGCTTCTTGCGGGTAACAGGTGCTGCTCGTGATGTGGCCGCTGTCGGTGACTTGAACCAAGCTTCGATGAGGTCCGGGATATCTGAAATGTAGTCCATTCACTTCTTGATTCAATAAGGCCACTTTGAGAACTCCATTCAACTGCTTTACATGAATGCCTTTATGATTAATCATCTCGGTCTGCAATTGCACAATCTCCTGTAGGATATTACATTAGTCTTGGTCAGCCATAGCAAACTCATCAGCAACGAACGGGAAGAATGGTGATCGTTATCACACAGCTCTGCGGTATCTGCTGTCTTCTCCACCAAACTCATCGGCTTCAGTCGTTGCAAGTAAGGTTTCTGCTGTAGAAAGAAGTGTCCTGGGCGTATCATTTCATGAACTATACCACACCATGTGACAGGTAAAATATTGTGCTTCATCTTGCCCAACTTGCTCTCCACATGCTTTTGAACCAGTTCGATTAGCTTCTTGCCCGCCTGAACTAGGAGGTCGTCCACGTGCAATATGGTAATGCATGTTAAAGTATTTGTCCTCTCGTCGAACTTATATAGGAAGTTGTCATCATGCAGAGACTTGTAGAACTTCAGCTCCGTCAAGAGAAATGAAGACAGGCCATCTGAAACAAAATCGGCCCATCAACCAGTCCGTACATAGCCTTGTTCAATATCAGTACAAAGTGGTATCGCTCGATATCTTCCACTATCGTGAACTTGAGAAGTCGCAAATGTCTCCACACGTTGGTTGGTGGTTGAAGCCAAACCATCCGCATCTTCTTACATTCATGTCCAAGTTCTGCGGCCATCGCTTCGATCTCTTGAAATCGTAGCCCCTGCTAGAAGGCTGTCGAAACATCGAAAGCTTCACAGTCCCACATGTATTGAGCTCCCAACGTCATGGCAAGTCGATGTGATAGTGCTGATGCCGTTGGCGAATGTCGGTGAACTCTTTTCCTTTGCACGTCCATGAAAGCTCTGCCGCGCATTCTCGATTTGACTACTGGTGGTGAACGAGTTTTCCACTTGCGACCCCACGCTGCATCAATGGTGTTGACGCTATTGGTAGCCTTGCCCAGAGTAAGCACTTCATGAGAGACGAAAAAACTGGTCTCGCTGCTGTCGCTTATTTCAACATACTGCCAATACTTGATGACCTCGGCCTCTGTCAGAAAATCTTCTTGAGACACTGAGAAACACTCGTCTGCCAAGATATCGTACCAGAAACAAGTCTCCTTCTGCCATGGTCCTGGCACAACAAGAAACGATTCCTGCACGGTCCAGGCCAGTGTTCCTGACGATGTTTGAGTTAACCAACACTGAACTCGACCTGCATCCTCAGCTGCATGTGCGATGAAGTCGAAGTCGTCGATGGGCGCCGTGGTCGTCATCTCGTTGATCTTGGAGACCTTGATGCAGTACTGGTACCATGAAGAAGGTGCCGCTGAGAACAGCTCCTCTGCTGCTGGATAACGTAGGGTATCATCCAAGGAACCTTCAGGATATTCAACAGTCTCGTCAGCTGCGCCCTCGGGGTGCTCGACCGTATGCTCATCAGCTGGAGCTTCTTGCACGTCTTGAGGTGCTTCTAACGGTTCGGACGCCGGTGCTGTGTCCGTTGCAATCGGCGGCGATGCTGGCGAAGGTCCTGCGCGTGGTCGTTTGTCCTGTTCTTAGCCTTGCTGTTGAGCAACTGGAGTTGGAGGTGGATGAAGGTGAGGTAGTACTGGTCATTGCGATTGATGGTCGCTTGGCTGTCCGACATCTGCTGCTGGCGTATCTGGATCGAATAGTTTCTTCTCAGGAATCTCGTCAATCTCTACCTTCTTGATCTCCGCTCTCGTTCTTGAACGTTCGCTCGATATACTCTCCGGTGATTTCTTCTCAGCTTCTTGCGGAGGTGCTGGCCATGGAAATGCTGTAGGCTTTTCTCGTGGATGTATTCGTGATCTTGACCGGTCTGATGATGAAGAGCTTGCTGGAGTGCCTGGTGCAATAGGTAGTACTGGATCTGCCATTGGCGTGTCCGGGACTGGTATGTTCGTCGAAGACTTGCTTCCAGGAATTTCAGGCGGTGCTCGATAAAGTCGCGTGCGTGATTTGTCCAGATCCGGAGATGCTGGCACTCGTGTCGTAGGTGGTGATGGAGGATCGCTAGATGGTAGTAGTGGTGACTGCGGAACAGCTGGCAGCTTCCACAGCGGCGAGGATATTCTTGACCTCGATCGATCTCCATCTGGTGATACTGCTCTTGTCTTTGATGCTGCTGGTGCAGGTGGGGGCGTTGGCGGTGCTGGTGGCGCCTGCTGCTCCATGCTCTGATCCGGGCTATAAGTCAACGATGGTGTCATGAGTGTGTCATCGTCAGGTACTCTTGGTGGAGTCGCCGGTTGCATAAGATCAGGAAGCTGCGGAGGTCCAGGAGGATCAGGATGATGATCTTCTGCTTTTTGAGGTTCTCGAGGTGGTTCCGGTGGTGGCTGTCGCGGTGGACTAGGGATATAGATGCCACTGTCGTCGTCGATTGGTGCTGGAGTCCATGGTATCCTTGAAGGGCTCCACAGTGGGCTAAGGTCAGGATGAACTTCTTCTTCCCTGAAGTAGTCTAATGCCGCAATCTGGTAGGCCAACACCGATCTGCATGACTGCCCCTCGAAGCCAGTGATGTCCGACTTCCTGGTCTGATATCCGCAATCGTATATTGATCTCGCAACTGGGTAGTCCACTGCATAAGGCGCCCATACTCCACGTTCGGCAATGGGACTGCGTGTCGTACTCCATGACCAAACTGAATGCCATCAATGTCCAGATTGAGTAGCTGCTTCGCTGCTAATTTCCCATATTGCACTATCTTTGGAGGTCGCTCTGCAAGATCTTCTGGAATATTGATGTATTGTTGATTCTGTTGATCCCACTGACGTCCGTAGGTGTAGACTTGTCCGAGTACGTGGTCTTCCACTTGGTCCATCAGTGAGGAAATGAGATGCTTGCTGTCATTGCTGGTCTTGGTGTCAAGTGGTAGCAACCAGACGAATCCTATATGAGGTCGTATATGTAGCAAAAGAACAAGCATAGGGTGACCTCGCCAAATGATAATCGCCTTGTTCTCCTTGCTCATACATCTGACCATATCAGCGGGGCCTCGCCACCCACTCTGATCCTTGGCTGATGGTTCTCGCCAAAGATCAACCTTCGCTTCGGGCTCCTCGATCTACTCCAATGTCTCCGGCGCATACTGTTGAGGCTTAGTGTTGGCAGCCTTGGCAATGCGGTGCTCAATGGCTGCCTGGATGATCGCCTCCTTAGCGTGGAGCCGTAGACGAATCTGCGACTCGATGGAGTCTGGCTGACTGAGGTTGGCGTCGCTGCTCGCTGAGACTGCCTTATTGTCCTGATGATAGAAATCGCGTGGTTCATATCCAAGTAGTGCTTGATTTGGCGTAGAGCTCCCATACACCAAGACTGAGTTGGAACACAGGCAGGCTTCACTGACACAATCATCTTGACTCTTGCGAATACCTTGTTCCTGTACCTGTGAGTAGAGTTTGAGAGCTGCAAGCTTGACCAAGCCTAATCGTCGTTCTGCAAGACCTGTTCGTGCATGTCCTTCAGATCCTTGAAGGTCGCGTTCCATGTCGTATGCTGCACAGGCCTTACCAATGAAGGTCTCCAATAACTGCACCTTCTTGATCTGAGACAAGAACCTTTGGACAAGTATCGTGCCCAACATCGTAAGAAAACTTGGCGCCAGGTCTCTGCATCCTTCTGTACCGGAAATTCGCAACAGGCCCAATGAATGGCTTCATCTACAAAGATGACATACATCCTGCCCCAAAGTGTGAAGATGTCAGTCTGGACTCGATGATTGAATGGAATCGCTAGTATCGTTCCAGCTGACTTCGGCTTGGTGAGTGTACGTCTCCATCCGGCACAGATCTTGCACTTTGCAATGGTTGGCTGAATGAGGTCGATGACATGTTTCGGAAATTTGCCTCGCCCAAGGAATATGACCATCTCGCTCGCAGGTAGATGCCACATCTTGTAGTGTAGTCCCATGAGCAACTTCTGAGCCTCCTTCGTCGTGATCTTTGGATTCTCCAACTGTCGTCGTAGCATCCTGATGTTGAAGGAAGGCTCGATGTAGTCCGGCAGGTCCGCAACTTGAAGTGCTTCTTCGACTTTGGCTGCGTCGAGTGATTCAGCGGGTGCTGCAGTTGGTGCTACATTGGGCTCTTACGAAGATGGAGCTGCTGCCGCCGCCGCATCACTGTTGCTCGAGGTCTTCGGTTCCTCAAGTGCTGGTTCTGGAAGAACTGGAACTATCTGTGGTACTGGTACAGGAGCTGGTGCATGGCCATCTCCTTGCTGCTGAGGTGCTTCTGGATCTTCTGGAGGTAGTGGTGCTGCTGGTGGAGCTCGTGCTGCTCAAGGTGCTGCCGAAGAGGCTTCTCCTGCCTGAACTCCCGCTCCGGCAGGGATTCCAACAATTGCTCGCGATGGTGCTATGGTATCCTTGAATCTGCAACCTTCGGCTCGAGTATGAACTGGAGTGATTCGCATATCTGCTCCAGGATATCTAGCTCCATGCTTGCGCCTGTCGCACGTCCAGAAAACCATCAACGAAAGAGTGTCATGATCTCCATGTGTGAAATGCCAAACATCCGTGCTGATAGCAGTACACATATTCCATAGGTAAACTGCCGCTGTAGCTGTTCTCCACATCTGTGCCAGGGATCTTGCCAGAGAGTTCTCCATGATAAGCACACTTGTTTTCGCCCGAACATCGAAGTAAAGTATCTTGGCTGATCTGGATGCCGGCGAAATCCAAAACCGTCGTCCTCTTATCGGGGAGTCCTCGGCTGTCGATATCCTTTGCTCCATGCTGGCGCTGATCAAGCATCGCTGAGAAAGTATTATTGTCCTTGTGGATGCTTGCGTAAGGGCTCTCCGTGAGTAGTTGGGATCCATGTGGCGTCTCCAAGACGAAAGCCTTCGCACCATTTGTATCAAGAGTCTGTTTGCAGCGGCAAGAAATCCATTGAAGTCCAGGTCGCTCTTCCTGTCGAGCTCTCGCTTTGGTCTCCACCTTGGATGTGGTATTGGCTTTTGACCATGGTGAACATCTAGGCGGGAAGAACCGGACTGAAATCTCGAACTTGCTGTTGATCTCATCCAGGACGGTCTGGTGCTCCATGAGTGAGGTGTCCCAGCCATATCGATGATCAACCGGAAAACCTGTCTGTAGGCGTAGATGCAATGCTGAAAGAGAGAGTCGCACTGATCCTGAGCAATATTCTTGAAAGTCCAAGCCGTGATGTCGTTCGTTTGCTTCAGTGTGAGGTAGTACTTGTCGTAGCCACTGAAGTGCATTTGTTGGTGTGACCACGGGTAACGATGACAGTGTGTAGAATTCCCCAGGCATGCTCAGGTAGTACTTGTTGGCGTCCATCTTGCGCTTGGTACTCCAATGCTGAGGCCAGATATCTGCTGAGAACATCGGCATCTTGATGGACATCCAAGCTTGATAGAAACTGCTTTGTGGTATTCCTTGCCAGGTCGAAACATTGAAGATCTCTGAAGTAGGTCCAGTCCAAGCTGGGGTCTCTGCACTCGTCTCCTTCTTCCCGCTGTGCTGCCATGCGCCTGGTGAGTCAGGTGCATAGGTCGCGTCCGAGCTGTAGGCTCCAGCGCCTTGCTGCGGACTGACCGTCTCCTTCTTCCCACAATGGCTGGGCAGCACTTGCGAGTCAGGTACATAGAGGCTATTGTCCCTTGCTTGGCTGGACTTGTCCGTGTATCTCGTCTAAGATCGTTTGAGCGGGTACTGATGGCGAGGTAGATGTCGAGAGCATGGCCGGAGGTTCAACTGGGACTGCCAGTTGACGTGCCAGATTAATTCGATCCGATCCATTGGTAATCTCCATGTCCGAGTCTGAGACGTGATCAGGACCACTTTCACCCTCTTGTCCTGACGATGGGGTTACCAACGTCAGGGAACCAGCGTCCATGCTCTTCGACCTCTGCCTGACATGCTTGTTATGTCCGACTGAAGTGCGTAGAACCTCATTGAAGTACCGCATGACTGTCTTCCGTAATTTGCTTTGCTCGGCCAGGCTGCCCTTCTCGAGCCTTCCAGTCGGAAGTAAGTAATGACAAGAATCGGTAAGATACTGTTGTACGAAGAAGGTCCTTGGAATCTTCTTCGATCTTGACTGCGGGTCATTGCCCAAGATGCGTAGTATCATGATGCCATCTCCGCCTTGGAGCACTCCGCAAAGTAATGAGGATTGCAGTCGTAGCATGCCACTGAGCGGTAGCAAACCAGGGCACGGTGATCCCATATCGCCGAGCAGGCCAAATCGATAGTAACTTCAGCAACTCACGGAAGTGGAATGCCTAGAGGTGTTTCTGCAAGTCCTTTGCTTTTCTCCTGTCGACCACCGATACCTGTGAACCT